TTGGTTCCTTTCAGCACATCATGCGGAAGACGCAAAAGGGAGCTGGTATTGAACATCGCAACGGTCTTGATCACCAAAGTGGCAACGGTGTTACAATGGTCCAACTCTTTGAACGAACTCCAGCAGTTCCTGCATTGATAAGCACATTCCATCCTCTCATTTGCCTGTGCTTCTGCTGCGGGCCCCATGGTGGCATCAAAGTGAAACTTCTCGTCCTCCTGCCAAGATCCCCAAGCACCATTCTTAAAGGGCTCAAAGATGTAAGGTCTCTGCCCTACATGTCCGAAGAGGTCCCCCCAGAAGCAAGAACCGGAACGGCCCATGCTCAAGATATGCAACCTCGTGGGGTCCCGCACAGTTGGCGCCAGCGCTGGCGCCACAGCTGGTGCCAGCTGCATCAATGAGGTGCTTTCATCTTCGCACTCCGCGCCATGGGCTAAGGCCACTGATCCGAGACAAGCAACTACCAGTGGCCCAAGCATGGGCAGTCTACGTGCAGTGGGGTATGATAGCGTGGCCTTGAGGCAAACATGCTGCATACGATCAAGGCTCAGACCCAAGCAAGGAGAACATCAAGGCTTTATAATAAGACTTGTGAGACTTCAATGGCCTCAATGGAGACACATGCAATCTGACAAACTTCGATCATCTCCTTCAACTCGTGAAGTTCATCTTCCAACTGCCACAGCTCCTGGAAAGTCCACAGCAGACTAGAAAAACACAAGGCATTCAAGCAAACTCCACTTCAGGGGGCTTCCATGTTGTCAAAGTGGACAAAAATACTAAAAACAAAAACTGAATGTGTTCCTTGTCGCTTAAAGGCTTCTTGCGGTGCTGATGGATCTTCTTCTCTATCTCAATGAGATGCCGCCGCTCTTGCCTTGAGACGACGTCGTCACAGCAGCTTGGCCACACTAGCTAATTATGCTAATTGATTGTTGTGCAGCAGGACATGTTGAAGCACGCAAACCATGCAAACCATTGACTTCAGAAAGCCAAAGGCCTCACCAAACAGTGCTCACACATTCTTCTTAGAAGGGGAGTAGCAGTGAGTAGAATTAGGAGGGAGAAGCCCCTTCATTTCTGTTTGTCACTTGCTGACATGTTGCTCTCCAGGCATTTCAACGGTTTTCGCGTTGCTTCTTGCATCTGCCTATCACTGCGCCATGTCTGTCTGATTGCATCGACTATGTTTCTTGTCTTTCCCTGAGATTCCCTCTCTTCTGATAAAAACAGATACAGTAAGTGTTGTAGCCACGATCCTGGGTGATCCGCTGCTTCTGCTTCAAAAGCCAAGCATGCGAAACCCACGCGCTTGGCAGACCTTGACTAGGTTCTCGACGTGAAGGACGCCACCGTCCATAAACCACTTCTCCGTGGCCATTCCACACAGCTCTTCCTGCAAAAGCCAAGCAACAGCAACCTCCACAAATGCTATTGGCATCAAAGTTTTGCGTCGGCGAAAACGGAAAGTGATCTATGCGAGTCGCATTGCCCGTCACCATGATCACGCCCCCAGCAAATCGATTGATGGCAAACTTCAACGCTTCCAGGTCCTGGCAACTTGGGATGGTTTCCATGGTTTCCTTCCTACTTGCGATGGCCTCCAACCTACTAGCGATGGCCTCCAACGTAATAGCGATGGCCTCAACTGTCAAAAACAAGTGTCAAGAATAAGAACTTTGGTGTTCATCTCATTTTTGATCATTTTGTCGGGTCATCTGCAGCCCTGAGTTGTTAGGACGGAATTGTCCTCGAAGTCCATGTAATCCGCCAATTCATCCAAAATCAGTATGTGAGGGTGCTGCCACATCGCCGCAGCCAGAACAATCCTCTCTAGCCGGACCAAGACTGTCGCGGCTTGACAAATCCTTGTTGAAAACAAAAAACAAGTGTGATTGGATTGAAACTGTAGAGCCAGTGCTTACTGATGGAAAAACTGATTGGTTGGTTGGTTGGTTGGTTGGCTGGTTGGCTGTCTGTCTGGCTGGCTGGCTGGTTGGTTGGTTGGTACAAGAACTTCTCTTGCCATCCGGCGCCTGATCTTGCTTGCACGGCTCAACTTGCCTCCAAGAGTTGGAAAAAACCCGAAGTTGCAAGGCACCCGAATCAAGTCTGGCAAAATGTCATTGAAGCGATCGAAGGTTGTATACGAACACCCTTTTTTGGTGTTGCTGACGAGTCGCCCATGGGCATCTGACTTGCCGAGGCATCAACTTCGAAGCAGCGCAAATGCTTCTGCACGTTATCCTTTGTCAGCTCCTCTTTGCAAAGATTCTTCAAAAACTCCTCAAACACCTGACCTATATAACCAACTACAAGGATAATTGCAGCTACACCGACTCCGACTCGTCTGCAACTGTTCGCACCAACAGTCAGCACCTACATCTTTGCAAATACTGTCTGTCCTTGGCTGAAAACGCACATGATGCCTGCCAATCATCCTCCAGCTGTACAAGCTTTTCATAGCCTGGTCAAGTGAACTTTACCCCGTGAATGCAATGATGCAAACAAAAAAAGCAATCTGTGCTCATCCAAATGGAATTGATTATATATTCTAGTGGCCCATCTCCATCAAGATCTCTTTCTTGACCCATGTTTTCTCGTCCACACTTCTGTGGAGCCATTTCACTTCGTACCTGAGCTACCCGCAGCAAGTCGTCCTCCGTAGTACAAGCGTTTTGTTTTTTTTGTCTTTTCTATTTGTCTCTTTTTTATCCCGGGGGGGTCCAGGTAGACCGTAGAGAGAGGCAGTAGCTAGAGGTAGCTAGTAGAAGCTAGGTAGCTACTACCTACAAGTAGCTACTACGCAGGATAGCTCACGATCGCACTAATGATTTGGTTTCCAATTTTAGGGAAACTTAACTTTTGAAGCTCCCTTTTGGAGACTGCTTTGACAGCCCAGCAGCTCAAGCTCTCCAGCAGCATTGGGGCGACGGTTGCAAATCTTCTCTGGTGTCATCAAAACTTCTGCCTTGCAAACGCTGGAAGTCCAAACAGGGATTCTACAGCATCACCTGTAGTATCGTTTGTGAAATGAAGTGTTCCAGGGGGTGCTTGACTGCCACACACCAACGTCCCAAAGCTAATGGCTCCTTCTCCGCACTGGTGCACGGTCGAAGCAAGTTCTTCTCATCCAGGGACCAAGGTACTTTCCTCCGACGCCCGCTGTGTGAGAGCCAACGCAAAAACATCTTCACTCCAAAAACCACTTCACAACATTGCAACCTACATCACTCCCAAACATTCGCGGCCTCTGAGCTTCCTCCTCTTGAGAAAGAGTGTTCGAGGCGATGGTAGCAGACTCTTTGTCCCCTTAGCATTTTGGCAAGCACACACTTAGCGAGTTCTAGATCGCCACTAGGTCACTAGGTATATTTCAGCACACAGGCCACACGATCGCCACTCTGGCCAAGGAGCTGTGATCTTCAAATCGCCACAAGAAATACTGCAAGGCTGTAGCCTCCTTCCAATCGTTCAGTTAATATGAAGCATGAGTCTCATTCAGGCAGCAGAAAACACAAAAAATGGTCTCCTTGTGATGGCCAAAACGTTGAAGAGAATGCTTGCAAACATAGGCGACACCTGAATCTAACACCCACCACACCATGTCCGACCGGTCGGACCCTCTGGGCCGTCTAGGCCGCGGGCGCGAACCCAGCACGCGCAGCACACTCCCATGAGTCGGCCGGAGGCGGCCTTCCAGGACCTGGCAGGATTGAGGAAGGTGTAGAATACACATGTCAAAAGAAAAGTACGAACTTACTAGCGATGGCCTCCAAACCTACCAGCAATGGCCTTCAGCCTCCAACCTACTAGCGATGGCCTCCAACCTGTTACTAGCGATGGCCTCCAACCTGCTACAAGCGATGGCCTCCAAACCTAGTAGCGATGGCCTCTCCAAACCTACTAGCGATGGCCTCCAACCTGTTACTAGCGATGGCCTCCAACCTGCTACTAGCGATGGCCTCCAAACCTAGTAGCGATGGCCTCCAAACCTAC